CGCCGAACACCGAGTACCAAACGCCGGGGCGGGGATGAAAAGTTGCCTCCTGCACAGGGCTGCGAAAAGTAGAAAAAGCAATTTCGAAATCCCAAAGAAATTGCAAAATTCCATGCGGCAACGACAACGGCGGTTCAGTTCAGTTCAGCTCGGATTGGTTCGGTTCGGCTCTGTTCTGTTCTGTTCTGTTTGCCGGCTCCGTGCGGCGACAAAGGATGTGCCATGTGCCCAGGACATATCCACAGCCTTGTGGCGACAGCTGATAGCGAAAGCCCCGATGCACCTGCACTAGCCCCCCAGTCCACGTCCCGCCCCCGTCCATTCTTCCCGCCTCAATCTGCCGTCGGTCACATAAGTAAGGTTAACTAAGCAGCGAGCACAAGGGTTAACATGCTCCAATGCTGCACTCGACCACACTGTCACCCACTTGCAGCCAAGAGCTGGGAGGCTGGAGGCGTGGCACAGTGGAACAAAGAGATTGCTTAAAGACGCTAGGGATAAGAACATAAACAAATAAATTATAGTGATTTAAAGAGAATTATTTAGCTACAAAGCTAATAAGTAACCAAAGAATTACATCAAGTTTTCATTAAAGATCAGAAAAATGATATTACACAAACATTACCAGTTATATTCATATGTTTATATTCAGTTATAGTCAATTTAGTGATATCTAACTTATGTTTTTCGATGCTTTTAAATGTATTTGTCTTGATTTAACGGAATTATCATACCAGACAGCATCAGACATTTAAAAAAACGAAAAAATCGTCATAAAAATTGGCCCAAAATGTATATTTAGAAGCTTTGTTTATCAAACTCGTATAATTTCCATTAACGGAAATACTGAGTCTCGAAAGTATATCCCATTATTGATCGGAACATTACTCTTTCATAGTAAATATATACTTAATTCTGGAATTTTGGGCAATATACAGTGCGAAATTGTAATATTTAGATGTTATCTTTGCATGTAGTTGGAGTATAATGATGTATAATTATGAAGGTTTACAGAATGGTTTGATGTTAGTATTGTACTCCTAATTCAGGTCAGTTAAATCAGTTATCTAAATTGTTAAAATACAAGGCAATAATAAACAAGATCCCATGTCAGTTTTGTTAGTCAATCATGCCAGTCTAAGCCCTTCTTGAGCAAGGTGGGTCACTGTTCCTCCCCAGACGGCTTCCCCTCCCCCTGGTCCCCTTTCCAGCGCCTTTGTTTGTGTTGACATTTGCCAGCTTGGCTTTGGACTCTCCGCGGATCCTGCAGCGCCTCCTGCCGCACTTCACTAGCTGGCTGGGAACCCCACTTCATCCCGGGCTCGCTCTTGTGTGTTCGGGGCTTATGTCACCTGCCCGGGAAGGAGTTCCCCGCGACTGCCTTCTGCTTCTTTATGCTGCTGCCTGACATAATATTTTCATTTTTCTCGGCGATGCTGAAAACACTTTTCATTATTTGGTTTTTCCCTTTTTCATATTTCACATTTTTGTTCGAGGGGTGACTCCGGAGGACGGGGCTTTCGCTGATGAGATTGTTGGTGTTGTCTTAAGGTGACTATCTTGGAGGTGCATCTCAGATGTGTGCAGGAAGCCACCTTAGAGATTATCTTAGTTTATGATAGCGTAACAGATACTGCGGGGATCAGTGGGAGCTGAGTCACCTGCATTCGTTAAGGAAATGAAGGCTTCCACCTTGCCAAGGTGAGATCTTTATTTAGACCATATTACGGCAGTTCCTCGGAATTCTGGCCAAATGTAAACAATCAGAACGCAAAATAGCCACAAAGTGGCATTTATTGCTCGCCAATTCACAGTAAACAGCACCATGAATGAAATCTGCGTCAGTCGATTGCTCACAAAACAAGTTCTTTAAATACCTGCCACAATGAATCTCTACTGACCGCTTTCGCTTTCAAGATCAATGTGTAGAATGTTTTGACTTAGTTTAATTTCTCAGCAGATGAATTAGTTTCCAGAAGTGCCAGCGAAATAACTGAATGTGAGCAATCCATATGGGAGAGGCCACATAGCGAGGACAGGCCTGGAATGCCACAGAAAAACTGGACTTGCAGCGGTCTCCCCCGGAATCCCCCAGATACCCCATAAGGGGCACGGCCTGTACTGCTCTTTCTGCCCCACTCCGTGGCAGCCACAAACTGGCTGCGATTAAATCTTTCAACGCCCGGCGACTGAGTCATTGGACTTGCCGCTGCTGCAGCTGCCCAGAGAAGCCCACAAACAGAAAAAACAAGAACGGGAACCACAACAACGAGAGTTCATATTCAAATTTGTAGAACGTGCAATGAATTCGAAAATGAAAATGAGTAAACACGCAAAAACAGAGCCGAGACAAACTCGGAATAAATGCATGGGGCAGGCAATTGTTTTTATTTCTTCTGGCGTAGGGGTCAATCGCAATGTTGTCAGCTTAGTCATATTTCCGCTGGAACAATGGAACCGTTTCTTATACGTATATAGGAACTGCAGTCTCAGGCTGACCCGCCATCAAAATTGATAACCTATCCCGGCTGGGAAGAATGTTGGTGGGGGGGGATCGGCGGGACTTAGGCTGGCGACAACTTCTCCTTGGCTAGTTATAGAGATAACCTTTGCAGTGCCTTCTATATTCGCTGATTGCGCACCGACTCACATTAAAGTGTGGTCAACTCTATGGAGAAGCCCCGCATTTCTCGGTTCAGTCTAAGCTTTTCTTCCTTCCTCACTTTCCTCTAAATTTTACGATTCTTTCGGATCAGCTCTGTTTCTTAAGTGATCGTTAAATGCCGATGACGCCGGGGAAGTGCATTCGATTTTACGAGGGCATTCCACTTATGATAATTTCCATTTAAATATTATTTTAGCCATAACGAACTGTTTAGTGACCTGAAGATCCCCGTGGGCCTAGCCACTATAACTTTATAGTCCCCCCTCCTGACCACACACAAAAATGGTTATTGGCGTCATTTATGGCTGGGTTCTTTGTTCCCGGTCATCGCTTGTAATCATTCAATTCCACATCAGCCATTTTCCTATGTGGATGTGGAACACGGCGAGGCAAACCGGAGCAGTCGCCATCGAAGGCGTTTTCCATCGGCCATTTATTTGCAATGCAAATGCAATGCGCCACATATAAGGCAAATTTCCAAATGGACAAACTCGTAAATTTCGCCATTCGCGAGCCGAACAATGGAGGCGAACAATTGATATACCAATTACCCAACGATACCCAAAACCAGCCGCGACTCCAAGGAAACGCCAACACACGCAGCTGCCCACGAGTGCCACCTCCTCGTCCTCTTCCTCGGCTCGTCCACCCACCCAAAGTAGCGCCAATCGCGCGGATCAAATCTCTGTTAGGAAATTAGCAACATTAGAAGGTACCCAACTACTTTGGGTGCGGAGGGGGCCTCGAAAACCACAGGCCTTGGGAGACCGGCCAGCGGGCCACGCAAGGGTCAAGTCGAGTGTGAAGCATTTACCCGATCACAGTCTGCAGCACGAAACCGAAGCTGAACTTGGAAACTGTGAAGAAAACATCTTATTTTTGTTTGCCCGTTCAAAACTATCTTTTGAAAGTCCCATTTCAATTTTGAAATAAATAGCTAGCTACTTTATTGGTTTTTAATTATTACGGTTTTTTATTTTGAGCATTATCTGGTGCATTTCTTACATCTGATAACGTTTGCTCATAGCGAATCATAACATTATTAAGTTATCCAGTACAATTTGGAAATTCGGAGGTAATAGCTATTGAGTTTTAAATCTTATGACAAATTTCTTTTAAAATTAAAAAAAAAACCCTAAAAATTTTCATATAACCTCAAAATGTCAAAAGAAAATGTATGGTTCTTATGAAGCATATGCGAGCCGAAAAATATTAACTTTTTAAGAAAAGATATTCATATTCTTTTATAAGACTTATATATTTTTTATATGATCAAATATTATTTTTCTAGCTGTTATTGTTGCAATTATTTATCATTTCCATTAATTAGAAGATCTTTACTCCAACAAATTTAAGAGACTTACCCTTTGTAGTCAGATTTTATAATTTGTATATCGGAAATCGCTTTGTTGCCTCATAAAAAAGTCATAAAATTCACATTGCTTGGCCTATGATAATATTTATTTAAGTAACTGAATAGATAAAAGGAAAAAAAGATAAATAAAATTGAGTATTTAGAAAATGCAAAGCTTATAAAGAAATTAAAAAATAAAATATTATCTGGCCAATAATGCAAAATATGCTGAGTAGTGTTTTTGGTCGAAGCCCAAATAAATAAATATTATTGGCCAGTTAGAGGCGGCGAGCCCAGGCAGTTGGCCAAATGCCAGGCAACTTGTGGTCGTCGTCATGGGCCAATCTCCGAGCGATCTCGGATGCAGTTGCCTGAGCAGTTGCAGTTGCAAGTTGGCAGTTGGCAGCGCCTCTCCCCCGCTGCGCATGCGCGTTTAATAAGTTGTGGAGGGGGGCGGGAGGGGGATAACGATTTCATTGCCGCGATATGGGCAGTCGGGGTCCCCTATCCACTGTCCACTGTCCACCCGGATCCGCTGTTTTAGCTCTCCTCATCAGCGGCTCGCGTAATGAGCCATTATTGCTTCAGATGCGGCCTTTATTGCCTCAGCCAAAGTCGGCGGCGTCGTCTTGGCCGCAGCTGCAGCAGAAGTCTGCTGGCATTTTGGCCATATTTGTCGCCCGTGTGGCATTCGGGCCTGGATGCAGTTAGTAGCCAAACTTAGGCTCGGGTTTCCTGCCCCCGGTGCGTGAGGCAGGCATTAATTGGCATATGGCTCGAACATGACAGCCGTAATAACTGTTTATGGCCAGCCGTCTTGGCCGGGTTACCAAACTCTGCCCATCGCGGGTCCCCGGGGAAAGGCATTCCAGCCCGGGAGTTGGGATGATGGATAGGAGTTGACAGGGCCTTGGCTAGAAGTATGATGGCCTGGAATATTCAATATGAACTCATGGATCTCCTCTCTTTCTCTCTTTCCAGGTGAGTCTTCCGAAGAATCCAAGTCTTGGGCTACCCACACTTCCTGTACAGGCAAAAATCATGGTGTTCGAACTGCTAATTTATGTTTACACGGTGGAAGGCCGAAGATTGTTTACGAGGCACTTATAACCAAAAGCAACTAAATTGTTTATGGTTCCTGGTGGAATTCAACATATGATTTTCCTATTCGCTTGTGTTTCTGTGATTATCGCGCAACAGCAAACAATGAGCGGTTGTAAAATAAATCGTATAGGAACAATCAGAGGCGCGCTATCTACAGTTAGATGGGTGTTCAGTGGGGGAATTAAAGAATCGGGGACCCCGAGTTCTGTTCCCAGTTGCACTTCCCCCGATTTAATCAGCTAAACTTTGTTGTTTCCCTCCAAGCTCACACGAGAATTATGTATATTGAATTTGAGCCGATAAAATCCGTGGGGGAGGGGGTGGAGGGTCGCCTGTGGCAATTAAAGCTCGAGCCAGGCATTTGTCAATAGATTGCGGGCCAGAAAAAAGGGGAACCGAAGGCAAACCATCCGAGCCGCGACCCAAAAAGCTGACCCAAGATGCTGTTGGCCTGGTCGGCTGTTGGCCTGGTCCCAGGCAAACAAATGATATTTATCGACATCGGCCGGCGTCCATTGTCTTTGCCTTTGTCTCCGTATTTGCTCTCGAGGGTCGCCGACGAAGTCGAAGTTGCTTGTTAACCGAAATGCGTCAAATGACAAATGATTTAAAATTTATTATCGCCGGGCTGCCCTGTTGTTCGGTCAGATTATACATACTTATTGTGTTTGGATCCAGTTTGGCCCAGCGAAAGTGAAAATCTGTTTTCGGCTGCGATTTTGTCAAATGCCAAGTGTGTTTCGCCTTTGTCGTGGGCTCAATGAGATTATTAATCATAGAAATTGCTGCCGAAAGGATTGGGGCAATTTCCCATTCGAACCGGTTTCCCAGCCTCCAATGAATTCGATTTACGTGCCCCCTGATAATTGGCCGAAATAACGTTGATCAATTTGCTCTTTTGCTTTCGCCGGACTTAAATTACCCCGAATTGCGTAAACATAAAAGAAAATTATAATCATTTACAATTCGTTGACTTTGGCAATGCGCAAATTTGCCATTTTGGTGTGTATTTGCTGGCCAAACAACAACAACAGCAACCAGGCCGAAAGCAAATAAACAGCCGCCTACTCGCACACACATTAAACTATCAAAATAAACAGTTATGTGTTGGGGTTGGGGGTTCGGTTTTTGGGGGTACGGTGCAATTGGGGGCGTGGCACACTCGCATTGAACTCGCATATTAATCAAGCGCATAATTTTGCCGCAGCCCCCGTCCTTCTGGCCAAAAAGCGAGTCCGAACAACGTGAATAACGAGCGATAAAAACTTGGCAAATATAAAACGCAAACAACATTCAAACTGCCAATGGGGCGGCGAGCGGGTGGGATGGCACCTCCAATGGGGGCGGTATATGGCTGTAATGGCTGTAATGGCTGTTAGTCATCGGCATTCGACAGTAGTTGCAGTTGTAGTTGTCGTTGTAGCTGCCTTGTTGCCGGTTAACCGATGAAAGCCATTTGGAGAGAGCGGTCCCAAAAATTGGTGCGGCTGCGATTGGAGATGCGGCCGTGAGTACAAATAACAATATGCTATTGAACCCAGTGGGGCAATATACGTAACTTCCAATACTAGATCCTCAATAATAAAAGCTGGTCTTACTAGACATTAAGAGCCTAAGCAAACATTTTGATTGACGCCATAAGGTGATTTAAGCTATGAAAATTCGACTGTATACCATTTATAATTTATGTTTTAAAACAGTATCTTAAGATCTGTTAGTCCTATAAAGATGATACCTATTGAACAATCCAATTTTTTTAAATTTCAATGCATTTTTATAATATTATGTCATCATATATATTATCATCAAAATAAAAATAGCACTTTTACACTTTAAACTTTTAACCTTAAAAGATTATATTTTTAGAGCTATCCAACAATTTCTTGACTTTAAAGTCATATATATAATATACAATCCAACAGTTTTACATATACTACAGTTCTAAAGATCGATCAATCTCAAAAATATGGTATCTATAGAACAGTGGTACAATTATGGTACAAGTGGTACAATTATTAAAGCACAAGTACCCCTTCTGTTTTCACATTTAAATATAACTAATAGTCACAAACTACAAAAAAATAGTTTTTATCCCAGATTGGATCACGCCGCCATCTCAAATCCCCACGACAGCGCACTAATACACCGAACTGTATTTGCATTTCGGCTGCTGCTGTTTATTTTCGAGTTGATTTTGAAGTGAACAGTTTGCTTAATGCACGATGTCGGCCGGAACGCAAAGCAAATGCAGAATTACGCATACGCAACGTTGCCAAAGTTTGCGGCTGGCCGCAGCGCCCTAGTCCAGTGCCACGCCCCTCCCGGCCCGTCCAATAAATTCAATAAATGCCGGGCTCACACACACAGGGAGGGCCCTAAGCCCCAACCAACCCCCTCGGTGGGCCACTGGCGGAACCGAGCTCTTCAGCGTTAAATTGGAAGCACTTTAGATTCACATTCAATTAATTAATTTAAGCAAATTGTTTGCTTCAAATTAATTGAATTTGCATTTAATTTGCGCTCACGAGGGAGGCCGCCCCCACAAACAACGGCACTAGCAACAACAAAGGGGCCAGTTTGTCAGTTTGTCAGTGTGTCAGCTTGTCAAGCCGGCAGTTCCGCAGTTCCGCAGGCCTACTTAGGGCCAGGCCCTTGCCTTTTGGCCGAGTCCCCGATTGATGGCCAATTTGCACTCTTCCCTGGCTCATCAACGTTAAATTTATTAACTAACTTCGGCTATCCCGAGTGTGTGTGTGTGTGTTTGGGCAGCGACACAGCATTAACGACAAACAATGCAAACATTCTCCGGAGAATTGGCCAAGCTTTTCCGCTCCAGATAGCCAAGTTTCGGAGCCAAGGGATCGGATGGCTGACGTAATCAATTAACAAAACGAGTATAATTGAAATCTCACTTACGTATTTGGCCAAGTGTGTGCGCATTGGCCACGAGTGCGCAAAATGAATAATGCAGTATTGTGCAAGTTCTGGGGAAAACACTTTTGGGATTGTGTCTGTTTAGTTCTAATTTCTCCACTTACCGGACTCCACAATGCATCACTATCCGTATCTATAAATCCAGAGAAATTGGGGCTTTCGGTGCGAAAGACACATCGAGCTGCGCAGCGTTTAGAAGACTGAATGGAAATCGAACACTTCTAAATATATAGGTTCTAAAACACCTGAAAATGCACTTGAAAATTTCATCACCTGGAAAATGCACTGAGAAAAGCCAACAGGTTGAGCATAAGGCGATAAGAATTATAAATATAAAGCCGGCATATAATAATTATCAGTCGTTGTAAGCCAATTACCACTCGGTGGCTGTCGCCGAGGGGCGGGGCGGAAGGGGCGGAAAGGCGGAGAATAATTTGCGCTTTTCACACTAATTAAAAGCGAATGAGACAGAGACGGACTGTATGACAAATGAATTGCACTGCATTCCAAATGCGGAGCGGAAAAGCGGGCGAGATGGATGAATTAAAGTCAGAGCGTGGAAAAATGATTAAAAATGTAAATTTTAATTCAATTTCGCTTGCGAAAAATAGGAAAGAAGCTGCAGCAAATAAAACTAGTAGCTGTAAAGTGGTTTATTGTGAGCCAGGAGCCGCCAGGACACCCGCAGGACGAAGGACGAAGACGCGACAAACTTTGCCGCTAGGCAAGGCGTCAAGACAAAGATACAGAAGACACAGCCGGCTGAAAGCGAAAAAATACGAGAAAAGTGGGGAATGTGGGGAGAAGCTGATAAAGTAGCTTGCCGGGGGCCTTCGGAGAATCTCGGGAGAAGGGAGGCTGCGTGGAGAAAAATCTCGAGAGAAGACAAATCGAATTTTTCTTGAAGAGAAAAGCGAAAACAGGCTTTGAACCTAAAAGTTCCACAACGAAGCCAATAATGCCCTTAAAGAAGAAGTCGATTTGGTTTAAAAAAGTAGAAAAAATTCTGAATTTTGTAATAACCAATTTCAGATTTTTTTCCAACAAAATAAAAACAACTTTGAAATAGCAATTTAGTTTGGCAATTTTTTTAATTTTTTAAAGTTTTTTGATTTTTTTAAGATATAAACCATATCTTTTTCCTCTATTATAATATCTCAATATTCTATCTATTTTTATTATTCAAAGAAATACATTTTTTAATAAAATAGTCGCCAAATGAAAGGGAATTGACAACGAGTCAAGGCTTGAGCAAGTAATGCAATTTTTAGATGCAGTCAGCTTTGCAGAAATTTTAATAAATAATTAATTGGGCCGCATCTCGTTGAAGGTTGTTTTCGCTCTGTCAGTTTTCGCTCAATGAGGCTGTTTCGCATCCTCTATTTAAAGTAAATTCAAATTTTAATTGATTTAAGCGGATTGCAGGCGAACAATGCCGGGGAGTTCTGCCGTCCCAGTAGGGTTAAGACTCGCATCCCCAATGGGGCTCTGTGGGGTTAATAAGCCGCTGCTTAGATGATTTCCGAATGGGTTTCCAACGCCCTGCTCCTTGCCAATCTGCGGTCGTCCTGGGAATTGGGAGCCGGGCAACTGATTTGGCCTTTGACCTTTTCCTTTGGCTAAGGCAAGCATAAACCAGCTAAAAGGTTATGCCACCACCCCCCGCTCACCACATCTTGCCAACTATCCCGCCCGCTGAGTGAAATGAATCTGCAATTCTATTCCATTTTGTGAGCAGCTCCATTTTTATCCCCTTTTCCCATTTCTCTCCGGGGCAGCAGCAGAAGATGATGATGCCGGGGCAGGTGTGGACTTAATGCGAGTTAGCCAAGGAGGAGATGGGGAGATGGAGGTGGCATGCCCCACTTGCCGGCGGCGACGGCTGCCAAACACTTTCATCTTTCGCCACAAGCCAACGGACGGTAAACGGGCACGGAGAAAGGAGAACGGAGAAAGAAAAATAGAGGAAAGCGTGGAAAGCGCGCTGCCCTTGGAGTGAAACGGATCCCCCGGTGAATGCAAATAACTTGCATCCATCCACCTTTTCCGGGTCGAAAAGTGTGGCAAGGCTGCGGGTAATCAACAAACGTTTATGGCGCCCGCTGATGAACTTGTTGATGATCGCGGCCGGTCATTTGTCTTGGGATAAGTGAAGCCGGAGATGCCCTGATATACTTTTGATGCATGCCACTCCGCAGGAGTGCTCAAGTGCTTTCCAGATTTGCATAAATATTTGCTCCACGACTTCTCCACGACTTATGCAAATAGAAAAGTCGAATGACAAACAGCTCGGGCACAAAGGAAAGTGAAAATTGAGTTTTCGCCAGCGCGGAATAAACAAATTAAATTATAATTAGTAAACAAAAACGAAGCAGCCCGGCAAGTGGCGAAACAAAGCCGGATGCAAATGGAAATTCAGCTGGGAGTCAAGGTCTTGATTAGTCCTGGTTTGTCTGCTGATTGCGCCCCGCCCCACCGGCAATTATCGGGAGTCAACGGGTATCCTTCCAATTGCTTATCACCTTTGTGGCAATGACACATTCGTTAGGACCCAGGACTCCTGCCTCCGCCTGCCTCGTCCTTTGGCCCATTCACCGCTGACAAAATATGCAGCTGCGTCGTTAGCACTTTCCACACATCTCGCATTTGGAAATATTTGCCATGATTCGATTGTGTAGACACCGCCCGAAACCCGAGCTCCCTGCCAACCGCATCCGCATCCGCATGGCATTCGCATCCGCAGCCAAGAAAGGAGGGCATGAGGCACTCAATTGAGTTTCGGTTTGGCGCCCAACGCTCTGCATTGCTGGTTATTATTATTTCTGATATATGTGGTCTTACCCTGCGGTTGTCACTCACCCGCAGGAGCAGGAGGAGCAGGAGCAGCTGGGAGGAGCAGGAGCAGGAGGACTCCTCACTTCGGTGGTCTGTGCGGTCTCCGCTCCATGTGTCGCTGTCTCCGCCTCCGCCTTCGTGTCATGGTTACATGCAAATGAAGCGTGAGTTCCCGAAAGGTGTTGAAAACTCGTGTGTGGGTTCGCTGGAATGGGATTTCTTCCCGGCAAAGTCAGAGCTCTGGCATTGAACTGCGCTCCGTGCGCATCTGCATAATTCTATGCCCAAATATTTCGCTTTTTTGCATGCCATCTTTTGTTGACAGCCAGAAGCCAGGCTCTGCTCCGCTTTCAGTCGTCCAATTGGTGCAGCAGGCTGTCGAAATTGTTTCGTAATTGCAGTGTTGACAGCAGCCACGTGGAAGGTCCTGGAGAAGACGATCCTCGGAGCAGATGGCAAAGAACGGAGGGGAAATGAATTGAATTGGGGTTCCTAAGAAAACAGCGAAAATCTCAACTTTTATAGTCGTGCGTGTAGCAAGAAAATATTATTAACTTACTAAATCAAACCAAACAGTACTCAAGAATTTGAAAATTAGCCCTACTAAACTATTTAGATTTGAGGAAACAAAACCATGGCTTGGGAATACATTTTCATAAGGAAAAGACTAAGATTAGCTGCCGGTTTTCAGAAAAGAGCTGCTGAAATCAAAGCATTAAACAAAAACTTTAAGGAATATTCTAAAAAGCTACACTGAGAACAACCGAAACTCAGTATCAATTCTGTCTAGTACAAAGTGCCCAGTATATATGTAAGGCTCATAAAATACACGGTGCTAGTGCCCGCGACCGGCAAATAATCCTATAAGAAAAACGTAATTTAGATATATCTCGTTAGTTTCCAATTCAAATTTCCCTTACTAGCACACCAATGACACTTTCTTGTGATGTCCATAATTAAAATTCAATTCAAATGTACAATGTATAATGATTTTAGATTTATTCGACCTGAAGTCATGCATAAATTACAAGTATCGCTGAATTTAAGAGTATTTCGTTCTCAATTTTAACAAAATCGAGTATTTTCTGTCTTGAAAATTCGTACATGAACGTTGTATTTTGTTGACTCAAGCACAAAAGTTTACATTTTTCTGAGTGTAGATATGGTGCTTATCACTTTAATCTGTTTGAAAATTTTTTTTGTTTTTTTTTCTATTTCGAATAAGGGTCTAAAAGATGAAATAATATTTCTTAAAGTGAAAATAAATGTACTTTAAAAATTTGCCATGCGAAGAACAATTTCATCCTCACTTTTTTTCTGTGTATACAATTTTCCTTTTACTCAATTAGAATAGCTTATGAATTTCTGCAAAAATGAACAGATTGCCAGAACTTCTTCATTTCGACTTCAAAAGCAGTCTACATTCTTCTTAAATTTGCCGTTTTTCAATTGCCGACTTCTTTAGAACTGACATTTAATTTGAATAATTTAAATTTCCTTTTCTAAGATCTAAACTTTCGTTCAGAAAGTGGTAAGACTTGAGAGAACTTAATTGCTCATATCCCGGGAGTTCCCCACCTTCTCCTGTCATTCAGCATGTCCTGACGCATCCACGACGAGATCTTTTGGCAAAACAGAACGCGCCACAAAATTGCTCAAATGCAGCCAGACATTAACGTGTTTTCAAATTTTACGCAGGCAGCCAAACGAAGCGATGTGGTCCCTACCCCTCGGAGATTCCCAGGAAAAGCCACACATGTGTGTAATTTTCTTTACGAGCCGGGGGAAGGGAGGCGGATCGGGGCAGGGCCCAAAGTGTTGCCTGATAAACGATGTCTGCTCTTCAGAGTGTCCTGCTCCATCCGACCAACAGCCAGCGTCGCCAACTCCGTCGGAATAGAAAATTCAAATTTGAAAATATGGAAATGCCGGCGACGACATTGGGCATGAGCCGAGGCAGCTGATGCGGCTCCTGCCCCTTCCTGTGGCTCCTCCTCTTCCTCTTCCCAGAGGCATGCACCATTGGGAGTGCAGCTATGCAAGTCGAGCCCCCAGCCGAAGTCGCAGGCGATCCCGGGGTCGTAATTCGATTAACACCTTTCGGGCGACGGGGGAATGGAGATGGCAACTATTGGCCTTTAATTGGTGAACGGCGTCGATGATGGTCCCGCCACCCCGAATCCCCCATCCCCTACAACCACCGCCACACGATTCCCCCCTTGTCTGCGGCTTATTAGGTGCGGAAATCTTTATTGATTGATGCATTGTTTGTTTTGGCTTGTGGATGACTCTGTGACTCCTGCCACGACCGCCCGCATTGTCTGCCACAAGGAGTCTGGAATGGGGGAGGCCACCAGATGGGCGGGCCATTGGAGTGCCAAGTGCTAAAGTACTTCCATCTCAGATCGTAACTCTTTCAATCAGACTGCGACGCCCTTCGATGGGCGACACGTGTTTCTCCGGGGAATCCGCTTGCCAAAGATTGCAGCTGTGACCTGGGGCAATACGCTTCCGGAAAACGCATTTTCCACAGATAGATATAGAGAGAAGCCTTAGTTGGTAAAAGTAAGTCCCGTTCTTCAGACAAGCCCCAGATATACTTGTAAAACACGCAAATTGGCACCGAATTTTGGAATAAGCCATTTTAAACTAGGGTAAAAAGTATAGAAATAGGTAAGGCAGCGGATAGATGGGGGGACTCGGGTTAAAAATTACATACATATGTGTTGTGGAACGTCCCATATGTAATATGTGTTTTATTCGAAGTATTTGATTTTGACATTTATTTTTATATCCCCCACAACCAAATTCTGGATCCGCCACTGAGGTTAGGTAATATTTTTGTATTCATCCTTTATAATATTTTTATTTAGTATCCTCGCAACAGGAAATATTCTAAATTCGTGGGTATTAAGGAGACAATCAGATTTAACACTAATTAGGTTTTTTACCGCCCTGTTTAAGACCTTTCCTTCAAAAGAAAAGAAAAGATTTTAGGTTCAATTCAACAGATGCTTTAACCCCCATAAGTTTCCGCGCTGGACATTCTTAACTGGCCTGCATCTCCCCTTACTTACCAACTTTAATGCCAGACTGCAAATTGCATTGCCAATGCAAAAGAAAAATGGAAAGACAGAAAGCAGAAAGGAGACAGGGCGGAGAAAGGACGAAAAATCGCCTTTAATTAGTTCGCCTTTCGTTTAATGCAATCGCGAAAAAATATTTTTAATTTAAAACGCGTAATTCAATATCTCGAGTAATTTTATTTACCGCCCACCCCCACCACTTACAAGCGGTGGCCGGGGGCGGAGGTGGCTGCGGATGGCGAAGGGGGCGTGGCTGTTTGTGGGGCAGGACACAAAGTGCTGCCAGTCATTGTCGCTGTCCGCTGTCCGTTGTCCGTTGTCCGTAGCGCGTTGTCCGCGTGTCCTGTTCGATTTTTATGCCAGCACAAAGTTAAGTTGAGCATTTTTGCGTGAACCCCGATCGATGCAGCACACATCCCATATATGCGCTACATATACGAATTCATTCGATATGTGGGGCAGCATTCCGGCAGCGGGAGGGTCCTCCAGCGCTGTGTAAATTGAGGCAGGAAATGCCGTTGGAGGGTTCAAAGTTGATGATTTTCAGGTCAAGAGCTGTGCAGCGGCAGCAACATCACCGACGGCAGCTTGCCACTTGTTGTTGCTGCCACCGATGGTCAGTAATTTCACTGGCTTTTTTATTTGGTGCTGCTGCCTTAAGTGGCGATCAAATTTCTTGATTGAAGCTCCAAGTGCGAGACAATGTGCAGCTGCTTGTCCTTAAACAGGATACTCCAAATGACCCGAAGACTGGGAGCCACAGCGGACAGGGAACGGGATATTGTGGGGCTGCAGAAGTAATTGCTTAAATTGAAGCTAAAGTGCAACAAACGGAGGAAGTTCCAGTGGCCGGAATAGAAATTTGAGACCTTATCCGGCCTGGGAAGTCCCTCAAAGCAGCTTAGGCGACGAAAATTATGTGCATCGAAACATTCTCGTTAAAGTACATAAGGTCTGCTATACTTATTTTTGTCTGGTACTTCACTGTTATTAAATAACATACATTTTTTGAGTCCTGTTGGTAGTAAATACAATATTACTATTTGATTATCATATGTTCTATATTGAGTTTTTATTTTAACTTACCCAAAGTACATAAAAAAGGAAAACAGGATAAGGGTTACGTAAAGTTAATACTTACCACCCATTTGTTGAAATTGCGATTTAAATAATTTTTAATGAACAATAAATAATTTTAAGTCCATAAGATCAAGTTTTTCTTTCCTATTTTTCTTTTATAACTTAAATAATAGTGATAAATTTCAATGTGTCAAAAGCTACATTTCTCTAAAATTTAAAACAATATAAAAATAAAAAAACCTCAAAATTCGATTTTTTTTACTTTAAATGTCTAACATATGAGATATAAATAAGTGAACACTTTAAATTATTTGTTCTCATTTTTTCTATTTGCTCAAATGAAATGCAAGAAGTAGGATCAAAGCCCCCTAACACTTACAGAATTGACCTCTGTAATGTTGTATTCTGAAGCTTATTAAATAAACGCATTAGAAGCCAAAAGTATTTATTCCTGAACCGAGAGCCAAGTCCAACTGACGGCAACTAGCCAAATCAGAAGGCATAGTCGTAGCCCCCTCGGAATCCATAGCCTCCGATAATATTCAATGTGTCAAATGCAGGCGAGGGATTCCTGCTCGCCCCTTCCGAATGATGCTCAAACATTTTTGCATACAACAGGAAATTGATTTTTCATCGACAGCAGGGAATATCGGGAAAGCAAGACGCCATGTCCTATGCAAATACTTTCAGACTGCAAAAATTTGCGTCACGCGGCGTTGCCACATTGCGAGAGTCGTGAAAGAAATGACAATTTCTTCAGCTTCTTCTTCCCTTCATATCCTTCTCGTTCTGGGAAAGCTGTCAAAAAAGCTTCAGCAACAACTTCCGCTACATGGCAGAGAATTGGTGGAAGGTGGAGCGGCGAGCGGGGGCAGGATGCGGCCTGCGCTCAAAAGTTAAGCCATTAGCGAAATGTCCTTTACTTTGCTTATAACGCAATTTTCTGCTTCTTTTCTCGGCCATGAGCCCCTCCCCCGCCAGCCACCTTTGTTTGTTTCGGACACTTTTTGGCCAGGTCCACTCGGTTCTGGCTTGGGTGCTGAATGACAACTTCACTTGTCAGCGTTTTGGAACTTTTGCACCTCCCCTCGCCAGCGCTGGCCAACTTTTTCCGGCGCTAATGAAGTCGAAGGGTATTTTTTGGCTGTGTGGCAATGTTCCTACAATCTGACAGCATAATTAGTAAATGAAAAACTGTTTTGTGTATTTCGCACTTCAGTGGTGGCTTACAAATTTTGGCGTACTAAAAAGAACGATGTTTTTAATACATTTTTAGCAATCACTGAAACATTTTATTTAGGCTCTTGATTGATTGGTTGAAGTTTTTATAATGTAGAGTTTCGTACCTATTTTAGTGGCTTTTGGAACGTTGGGGTATTTTTTGGTTCACATTTAGATTTACTTTTGATGTCGGGTAATAACTACATACATAAGTACGTTATCACAAAGTGAACTGAAAACCTCGAAATATTCAAAAGTGAGGTCTTTAAATTCCTCAAATTATTTCTTCTTTGTGGTTCGCACTAAATATTGAATAAAAATATCAAAAATATGTTTACAAATTATATAAATCAATTATGTATGTAATTCTTGTAAATGTTTTCATCTTTTTCTTTTTGAATATATTTAAATTTCTGAACGATTACTCATGATAATAATAAAAGGTTTCCTACGTTATAAGACGTATTTTTATTATATTTTATCTTTAAGTTGGACCCTAGAAACTAAAAAATTTTAAAGGCCTAAAAATGACATCAAGTATTTACTTGCTAATTGATTAATCCATTATATAGCGGGTCCATATTACTTTTCAAATTTGTTATTGGTATTTTTGTGAGCCCTTTGTGCGTGCTAGGTATAAATCGTTAGGGATTATATGAACCCCCAAAGGTGGAACTCTACGGACTCGTTAACTTCTTTCAAAATAAGCCCCATTTTCCAGTTCTTATAATTTCCATTCCTGATGAACTCCAGAGGAATGTTACTGTGCTCCTAACAGAGGCGCTTCTCTGTTGCGCGATAACAGCCCTGTTGCAAAAGTCGCCGCTAACAGTGTCGATGTAAGCCGCTGGCGATGCTGTTATTACAGCGCTGTTGGCCGCAGATAATCTGAACGAAACTGGCGTGCAGCGCGTAACTCGGTGGCAGAGCTCCCCTGCGCTCCCATTTCCATTTCCCCTCTGCCGAGCAGCGGCAGCGAGTTGGCCAAAACCAAACGCACTTTTTAACCTTCAAAACAGAGATTCGGTGGGCTCTCCCGCGCTCTCTGGCGATGCTGCAGCGGCAGCGCTGCCGACGTCGCTACATCACGACATGCGCAGAAAACGAGCAGCGGCGAGCAGCGCTCGCTCTCTGCAGAAACTCCCACGACACTTGCGCTCTCGACGCACTCTCTGCGCTCTCCGCTCTCGCAACTGAACGAAAGATGAGGCGCAGAGAAGAGCAGAGGCTACTGTTAGTTTAACATCTATGCATATTTTAATGGAACAAAATGGGCATTTATCCCAAAGGAAGTCGCTCTTTAGTCACTTCTAAAACAGGAAATATGTGATATATTTAGTAGCTAAACTAAATACAACTATTAAGCTGGGAAATATTTTTGCAAGATAAACATAAGTGGGTTAGAAGATTACTAGGCATATATAAATTAGTACTCAATAGAGTAGTAAATTATTTTAAAGAGTTTTACAAAAGTAAATTACAATTTATTTAAGCCATATATTTAACATCTTCGTGTTGTTTATTTTTAAAATATTTTTTTATTTATTTAAACCCGCGAATTTGGATCGATCATTTCTAATAGTGCAAAATGCGTGTAGGGGATTACATTGCAGCGCTCGCTAACATTTGTGCATGGACCATGGCTCTCGCTCCCTGTTACCAGCGCTGCCATCGGCTTCGTTAAGTTGGGAGAGGAAGAGAGAAAGAGAGGAAGAGCGCTCTCAGCCGCTTGCTTCCGTGGTTTCTCCCCACAGATTCGGTTCGTCCGCTCATTCGTAATTTGAAATTCGTCTCGAACGGTTCTCGCCAAAATTCGACGTCGCTCGCGAGTTCGCTCCACAGTCCGGAAAATGTGGATATACGAAAAGTAGCGAAAATATTGAAAATCGTCGGGGGGAAACCAGAGCCCAGAACCAAGCGAAGGTGGCTGGATCCAACGAATTCTGAAACAGCCTCAAGAGATCGTCGCGCAAAACAAACCAAACCAAACTCCGTCTTCTCGTCGCGTTCTGTACTCCCATCTCCCATCGTGTGTGTCCCATGTTCCGTGTTTTCGAGTGAGCGTCTGCTGGAAGGCCCAAGAAATAATAATATTCCGGCCTCGGCCGATTGTGATTGAGTTGGGACCCTCGCAGCCCGCAGATTAACCGCCTGGAGTGGCCCAGTAGAAATGTTTTCAGTGCAGTGCGCCCAGTGAAAAGCCTGGAGTAGTGCCCGCCGAGGAACCTCTTCTCTTCCTGCTCCCCCGCGGAGTCCTCTCTCCTCTTCTTCTTCTGTCCGGTTGGCCGCCCGGCCAAGAGCCCCCAAAGCCGCCAAGATTAAGTTCTCAAAGCAGCACGCCCACCACGCGTACCGCCACACGGACAACATCTACGACGGCGGCACGGACACGGACGACGACGAATGTCCGCTGGAGGCGACCGCCATGAATCCCTACGAGTATGAGTCGACGCTCGACTGCCGCGACGCGGGCGGCGGCCCCGCCCACGCCCACGCCCAGCCCCACGCCCACGCCCTCGCCCAAGGACGCACGCTGCCCATGAGCGGCCACGGGCGGCCGGCGGCGGACCTGGCCCACGGCAGCCAGACGCTGCAGCACCAGAACCAGCAGAACCTGCAGGCCGCCCAGTCGTCCCACTACGACTACGAGTACCAGCACCTGGCCCACCGACCGCCGGACGCGGCCAGCAACACGGCGCAGCGGACACACGGCAGACAAGGTGAGTGCCGCCTCCGAACCCTGGCCTCTGACCCGCTGAGGAGGAGCCTCCCCTCTGTAGAAGGGTTCCCCAACATGGCTGTCAGAAACCCCTTCTGTGCTCAAAGGATTGGCCTTTTGCATTGATTTTTAGTTCCCAGAAAGTCAAAAGAGTTATAATGTTGGGTTGGGACCAGATTAAACATTATACTTTCTTATAAAAGAACAACCCACCGCACCGTTTTATAATTATTAGAGGCTTTTAGGGTAATTGCTTAATAATAATAACTGCATTGATTTCCAATTCCATGAAAGTTTCATGAGAATGTAGAATGGGACAAGTTCAAAACCATTTATTTTTATTTTATTAAGAAAGAAACCACCTTACTCCTCGTTCTATTAAAGGTTTTTAAGGAAAAATAGTAGGGGAAAACTAATTTGGATTTCCAATTCCCTCAGAGTTTTAAGGGAATGTAGAATGTTCATAACCTTATTTTTATATTTTCTAAAAAAAGAAACAATCCACCGTGCTCCCCATTCTATAATTATTTAATGTTTTAAAGGCCACTGTTCAATAAAGGAAAAGCTAATTTGGCCTTTTGAATTGATTTCTATTTCCCTAAAAGTTTTAAGAGAATGTAGAACGGGACAAGTTCAAACCTTTTATTTTCATTTTTTTAAAACAGAAACCATCCACCCGTTCTATAATTATTAAATGCTTTCAAAAGGACTGTTTAATAAGTGAAAAGCTTATTTAAAAACCCGCTCCGTTGCACAAAGAAAAAAGGAATTTCTTAATTCAAGTGGCCATGTTCCAATTCAGAATTCTTAAAAGCTTGCAAGTTCTTAACTTCAGAAATCCTCCTAGCTAAAGTGTTTGATACGAGTAATATAGTAAAGTAGTTTCTTGATTGGTTTCCCTTGACGTTTCAGTGCGGGAATTTTGTTCATACGAGTTCAAATTGGATTGTGCAAAACAAATTGTGATTCCAGCTTATGATTTAACATGGCTGTCTTTAAACACAGATCAATCGGTGTGTTTGTTTAATTTGGCAGAAGAGAAAACACATTTTAAAACATTCAATAAACGTTTAGTGTTGTTATCATTATTCTTAGTTTTTGTGTGCGTCAGGTATGATTAGGGAAAAACACAATAAAATAAGCTATTTCCACAAATTATTCCAGGCATTAATTACACTGAAAATAAAGATAGTTTTATAGTGAATTGGCAAGCAAGTGGAAGTACAAAGCGGTTCTTGGTAGACAGATTAAAGGAAAGTGGGGGTGGAAAACGAGTTAATCCGAGGAGAGTCTGAGTGAATTCCCATGTTATCTGCTACTCCCAGTAATTATTCCTTCTGTTGGCGACGCAAACAGTCGGGAAAGGGGAAGAACCAGCAAGTTGCGACAAGTTTGAACAAATTACGCCGCTTATCGTCGAATGCGGCCAAACATTTTGCATAAATTAAACAAATTAAGGCGGCATCCCCGATGGGAGTGGGTCCCCCTGACATTGAGCCCGCTCCTGTTTCATATTTCATAATTTCCCTTTTTCCGACCGAGCGCGTTTTTTCACGATTTGTCTGATTAATAAAGCAAGAGCCACAATAGCGAGCGCACAAAGCGCAGTTGAAAAGGATACTCTGTCAGTCAGTCAGGAATTAGGGGAATCCCAGACGCTGTCCCCGTCCCCGTGGAAAATGCCTGCGGCTGGAAAAACGCGAGACCTCTGAGAGGAGTTCGGTTTCAGTGGCCTGATTATGCACTGAAGGAAAACAGACACCTAAAACCGTTAAAAATAAATGTTTAATAACGAAATTAATATCACATCATATCATTACCAATAATATCCCAAAGATTATAATATCTTTAGAGCGATTTTTTCTATCTTTCTAAAAATATGACACTCCATATTTTGTAAATACCTTGCTATTATTGCTATTTTGGCCAAACTAATTAGCACCTCTGCAGCCCATCCAAACCTATCGAATATTCCCCCAACCCGCCTTCTACCACTTCCCAATAACCACAAAAACACGCTTCGACATGCTCGGTTTTATTATTTCCGACTCTGCTCCTTGGCATTTGAACTTACACAAAACGGAATTTACATAACTTTATTTCTGGCATTTCCTCTTTGAGCTCCGTAGCTCTTCTTCATCCTCGTAGCAGTCATCCCACATTCCCCGGTCTTCTGCTTCTTCTTGTGCCTTTCAGCGTTTTTGTGGTGTTATAAAAACAATTGCCAAACAATTGGAGCTTTGAAACGAAATAAAAATCAAATGGAAATCGAACCAGAACGTGTGTGTGGCTGTGGGTGTGTGCTACCTGGCAGCAGAGCGAAAAAATTGTAAATTTACAGCAACAAATAAATTTCGTAACTGGCAAACAATAAATTCCTGAGACCCGAAGACTTGAGAGAATTTCTTTTCCGTTTTTGGCGCAAGAAATGAAATTGAATAAAGTGGGCCAGGGGGGTGTGCGATTGGGGGAGGCGAGCTCGTAAATTTTCAACACTTCACCAGGCAGCAGCTTTTCCATTCCCATTCCATTCCCGCTTCCCAGTGCCTGTCATAAAATTGCCAAAAAGCCAAAACGGGAAGAGCGAAAAGTGTGCGCCTGGAAAAGCAGCGGAAAATGCTTTCTCCCCCACTTTGACGCCGTGTTGATGTGTGAAAATCGCTGGAAGCTCAGACTTGAATGTCTCAATGTTTGATTTGTCAGCCGCCAATTAGCCAAATTAGGTCGAAAAAACCGCCCGCTCTCGGCCACTCTGCATTATTAAACGCAACCACAAACTCCAGATGGCCTCCAAATCCAATCACAATCCCCTCACAATGCAGAAAGGCGAGAAACACGCAACTAATTTCGAAAATGGAAGCTCAGCAAGGTCACCCTCCGAATCGGAATCGGCATTCGTATTGAGATTGGGTTTGGGTTTCGATTGGATTGGATCGGTGTCGGGAATCGGAGGGCCATTTAGATTTTCTCACACTGAGTTTTCCAGCAGCGCGAAAACGAACAGAATAAACAGAACGAAATGGATTATTATTTGTTTATGCCGCGCCCGCTTAGTTTATGGCCCGCCCTAATGAGGCCACTTTGTTTATTTTTGTCTTGGCCACAATTTTGCAAAATGAAATCCCCACTCGTACCATTACTGCGAGCCGCTTACCACTTGCTTCTGTGCGCGGAGTGGCCCATAACCCAAACAATCCGTATTGTTTTGGTTGCGTGGTGTAATTACACGGGTGCGGTCGTTTCCCCAAGTGATCGGATGGACTCGTCGGATCTTGGCGTGGGCATGTTTCAATAATTTCGTGTTTGCGCCGCACTCCCACTTGTTCTCCACGCGGATCGCGGCGCTATTTTCGGATTTGGCAGGGGGCAATATCATAGATGGTCGGGCAGAGTGTTTTGGGCGAGTGCGGGGCTTCCTGTGCGTCACAGACAGCTGGGGGAGCTCGGAGGAAGTCGGCTGAGTCAGCAGGAACCTTGGAAAGCATTTGAATAGGAAATTCATGGGGAATAGTCTTGGGCCCCTCAATAAAAATTTGTACAAGTAATGTGCATTATCAAGAGGGTAAACAAAGTGAAGACTATGTCTAAATACCAATATAACCACTTCAATGCTAAAACCCCTTAAGCCCATCCTTTTTAAGGATAATTGAATTGAAAAGCACAACGTAATACCTTCCCCGTAGCAGAAATCCACCCCTAGTTACTATTTGCATAGATCTCAACTGGTTTTTCGCCACGGTTCTCCAGATCCCTGTCAACCCAAGCATCCCATCGGTATCTGCGATCCCATTTTCGGACTGGAAGCGGCTTTCGCCCGCTAATCCTTAGCTGCCAGCTAAGCCGCTTACCGGCTAATCCCCAAAATCAACCTGAGAAAGGACCTCGGCGTTAGGCCCTTGACGACACCACAAAGCCCAGCTGTCATATTTGGAGAACCTGTTTTGGGGCCCATCGAACGCGAATATGTACGATTTCGAATCTGATTTTGGCCCGTTGTTATCGTTTGTGGGACTTCTGGGCGCCGCAGGTCGTGCCTGCCAGGACTCGTTCCCAGCTGTCAATGTCAGGAGACGCAGACTAGGCGCCGGCACCGGGCGGAATTCCAACTTATTACTTCCTGACAGCTGTCAAAAAATATGCAAACACCCAACAGCTACGCTGGGGAAACTATGCGTCGAAATGTGCGCAGAATTATGTAAATCAAAGCGATTTGTAGCAGGCAAAAAAGCAAACCGAAAACGGAAAAACTGAAAAACTGGAAAGGAGTGGAAAAAAGGTAGAACAGAACGGAAAAATTGACAGCCAGGGGAAATTCAAAATGTCGAGGGCCTGGCTGGCGGAGGAATGCTGGGAAAATTACACGTAAACAGCAGGAGGCCAACAACGCCTTCTCCGTTCGAGCGGGTTCTTTATTTTTTGCGAAAGGAGCACAAAGGCAGGGCGCACAAAAGACCTTTAAGCCCACACACTCGAGCAGGAGGGGCGATAATGATGCCGCAACGCACAGACAACCGCAAATGAGCAGGCGATCAGGCAGATAGGGCCGGAATTCGTTAGGTGTTCGGATGACCTGACCTGGCCAGAAGTCTCGCCGCGGAGTACCTGCTGCGAGCCGGCTTCAACAGGCTGCAAATCCCATCTCCCTCTTTGTAGGTACTACGTGCCCGTTCTCCACTCGAGCTGCATCAGCTGCTAGCGTTTTGTCATTTCGGGATTAGTCGGGGAAACAGGGAACTCAGGCAGAGGCAGAGCATAGATATTTCCCCTTTCCCGGCTCGACATGCCTCATTTGGCCTCGCACCGAGCGAAGCAAGATGAACTCACTCGTTCATATTATAATTCGATTTTCCTCCCCTGCCAAAGCCGATTATGGAGGCAGAAGAGTTCGATCCGAACCCGAAGAAATTAATGCTGACTTAGTGTTCTGGGGACCTGGAAACGGAATCTGTTCTATCCCCGTTTTGGGTATTCAAAGTCAGACTGTCAAGTCAATTGTATGGA